CCCAGGTAAGCAGCCCCAGGCAGAGATGCTGGGGTTGATTACAGTGGCTTAACTCCAGCTTCCACAGCCCATGTGCTGCCAGGTTTCACTTTGGGGAACAGATCTGGGGGCAGATGTCCAGAGCTCCCTACTGTGTATGGCCTGGGCCTCAGCCAATTAGATGTTTGCAAGAGGAACCTGGACACAGGAGTTGCAGACCTTCTGATAAGTTAGTGGGGTAGTGGAAAGGACATGAGGCTGGGGGTCAGGATACCTGGCCTCCGGTTCTGCCTCTACACCAGCTCCCTGTCTGGCCCTCAAGGAGTCACTTCTACTTTTCAGGCCTCAGTCTTCTCCTCTGTACAGTGGGAGCACTGGCTTCAATTCTCTTTCCCTGTGGAGTGCTAGCCCTACCTGTATTTTGCCTCTTGTCCTGAGAGTCTGGTCTCTAGCCCCTCCAAGACTGGTGGATAAGGGAGCTCCTACTGAAGGCAAATAGCCCTCCTCCTTGAGTCTTTTTTGAGGTCTCCTTTGGGACACCCTTTTGGCCCCATAGGTCCTCTTTCTCCACACTTTCGTCCACTGATGCCCCCAACTTTACCATTATCCTTGTCACCGTTGTCTTTGTCCACATCTGTTTACTGAACACTTTCTGTGCATATAATGTACCAGACCCAGCTGGGATGAAGGGGTAGAAGATAGGGTGCCTCTTGACTGCCTGTCTCATTGGGGTGTAGAGCAGAGCCAGGCCTGGGCTCAAATCCCAGCTCCACCATGATTGGCTGGGGAACAGTGGGCAAGTCAGTCTTCTCATCTGTGAAATGGGAATGATAATGGTCATTTATTTTTTAAAAAGGAGGAAATGAAAATAGGCACCCAATGAGCATGGTTAACCACTCTGTACCTAAGGTCCAAAAGAATAAAATACAGTGAATGAAATTGAAAGGTCCCAGCACAGAGAGAGACACAGGGTACACATTCAGCAAATGTTTGCTTCGCTCCCAGTGGCTAATCCATGATTCATTTTCCTTCTCCCTAACTCCAGTCCACAAAAGATTCCCTGTTTTTAGACTGCAGCGCCTTCACTTTGTTGAAGTCATTTCTAGCTGGAAAAGCAGGGGTGGGGAAGAGGTGAAGCTGCCTGCTCCTGCGACTAATTGTGCCTTATTATAATTGTGAAAAACACTTATTACCCCTTGTGTCATTCCTGATACTTGCCTAATAATAGTTATTACCACTTTACTACCACTGAGAGTTTGTTTTAGTTTGCGATTTGATGGCCTTTAGTTTCTTTTAAGGAAAATGAAGGGTCATTTCATTCGTGCAAATTGTTACTTAGTTAAGCAAATTGTTACTTCCCAGAAGGCAAGAGGCCTAAGGAATTCTTCTGAAGACAAAGTATATGTTTTTAAGGACAAGTATTTTAGGCAAATGAAAGGAAACCCAAAGAAAAACACCATAGACAATAAAGAATAGCAGAGGGTCTGATCTGGAAGGCCACAGAGGTTGTGTGTACCACCCCTTCTCTTTACAGAGGGCAAGACTGAGGCCAAGACCTGGCAGTGACTGGTTTAAGGTCTCCCATCCGGGGAGCTGGATTTGGCTTCCTGGGTTCCAACCAGTCATGTCCTCCTCCTTGCCCTGAAGGTCATTTGCTCTAATGTAGTTTGTTTGAAAGGGAGCTCCTATGTCTGTGTGGGCCTCTGCAGTCAGTCAGTTCTGACTAGAGTTGCCAAATTTAGCAAAGGAAATTGCAGAATGCCCTGTTAAATTTGAATTTCAGGTAAACAACACATAATATTTTAGTATAAGTATGTCCCAGATATTGCAAGGGACATACTTATGCTAAAAGTTTATGCCATGTATATCCAAAATTCAACTTGAACCGAGCATCCTGTATTTTAACAGGCCACCTTAGCTTTGACTTTTCCTGTACCCCTGTTTCTCTCATTATAATAATAATAGTTACTGTTTGTGGAGGTATTTTTCTGCAGTACCAAGAGCTGTACTGAGCATTTTACATACATTATTTCCTTTTGCCCTCCTGGCAAACCTGGGAGGTCTCTATGATTATTGTCCCCATTTTAGAGCTGAGGAAACAGGCTCAGAGAGGTGAGGTAACTTGCCTGAGGTCACACAGCCAAAGGTGACAGAGCAGGGATTGAGCCCAGGTCTGTACCCCAAGTTTGTGGCTTTTGCTGTTGGCCAGTGCTGTTCCAGGGGACTGGGGCAGCAGAGGTGCTGGATTCCTGGGAGCTGGGTTTATTATTTGAGGAAACCAATAGTCAAAAGCATGTAGAAGCCCCATGTGTGAACTCTCCCATCCCAGCAGTGACATGTTGTCTCCTGTCTTCCAGAATCACCGCCACCCCCATACTCTCGGCTGTCTCCTCGCGACGAGTACAAGCCACTGGGTAAGTGTGTCCTCCTTCTGACCTTTGGGGAGGTGCCTCCTTCCCAGGCTCCCACAGGGCCCTGCCTCAGTGCTGAAGGGCCAGAGAAGGAGGGGAGAGAGGGATCACCAGCCTGGTTGCCTTTGAAATGGGGTGGGTGAAGTTTTACAAACACAACCCCAGTTGGGCCAGAGCCGACCCAGCCTTTGCAGTGCCTTTGCAGCGGGCTATTTACGTCTTGAAATTCCTTGCTCATCATTAACCTCTCTGTGACCTTTAACCATGGGCCTGTGGGAGATGAATGGGTTTCAGCTTCAACATCTTGTTGATGCTGGTGGGTTGATGTTTCTGTCTCTTTTCCTCTCCCTCCCTCCCAGCCTTACGTGGTTCTCCTTTGGTGTGTATTAATTAGCACTATGACAGATAGGCTGAGCACGATCACTGTTGAGACGAGCTATATGTTCCCCCCGCTCTTCTAAGCCAAGAAGTTCACCTGGGCAGAAACAACAGCTGGAACGTTTAGAAAGGAAGTGTCTTGGTACACCAAGCCCCTGGCATGGAGGGTACCCCTCAGTGGTAGTGTCATTGTTGGCAGGGCCCATTCAGAGGTTAGAACGTGTTTTCTGTAAAGCCTTGGGGCTAAATGAGCAGCCCGTTACGCTGGGGTAGATGCATGTGGTTTTAAAAGTAGAAATGGCTCATTTCCTGGCCCTCCTGGTTCCTCCAGTGGAGAATCCCAGTGGTGGGGTGAGTATGGCCTGAATAGTACCGGGAGAGTGACTTTGTGACCGTGGGACTACTGTGGGTAGCTGCCGTGGGACTCGAGCTTTAAAAGTCAGATGGCGTGGCACTGATGCTAACACATTCCACCAGTGACCACAAAAAGTGGGTTTTGTTTTGTTTTTGGTAAAGGCCTCTTCCCGGTAGCGTGTGTCAGTATCATCTGGGAGGTCACTTCTAAGTGTCATAAGCTCTTAGGCATCCAGTCCAGTTTTCCTTCCAGGCCCCCCTGTGGAGACAGGAGTGCCCACTGGGTCCTTTCAGGAGTTTGTCCTTCTCAGTCTAGGAGGACAGAGCCTGTCCCATGACGGCGTATGAGTCAGTGGCTTAACGATGGCAAGATGGCAACTTCCTCATTGTTTTTCCTGAAGTACACTCATACCGTGGATGGAGGAGCTTCGTTTAGTTCTCCGGGGAACTGGAGCGGTCATCTGGTGGGACCCTGCCACTTGGTAGACAAGGAATCAGGCCGAAGGTTAGGGAGAACCGCCCAGCTGATGAGCAGTGGGGCTGAGGCGGAAACCCAGAGCAGCCCCTGTTCAGCTCAGCAGTTCCCCATCCTTCCCTCCCAGGCCCATGTCAGCCTTTTTTTTTTTTTTTTTTGCGGTACGTGGGCCTCTCACTGTTGTGGCCTCTCCTGTTGCGGAGCACAGGCTCCGGACGCGCAGGCTCAGCGGCCATGGCTCACGGGCCCAGCCGCTCCGCGGCATGTGGGATCTTCCTGGACCGGGGCACGAACCGGTGTCCCCTGCATCGGCAGGCGGACTCTCAACCACTGCGCCACCAGGGAAGCCCCAGCATTTTTTAAGTTAACATAATTGCACTAGTTGCTTAGAAGATCCCTCATTCTAGTAGAGGAAAAGGAAAACCCTCATTCTTAGTAAATGTAGCACCTGAGCTTGAATGTCAAGGATCATTGCCCCAAGGAATCGTGGGTCAGCCGGTGATAAAGCCACAAAAATCAGGACTCCATCCAGCGGGGCAAAGTGACCATTTGGAAATCAGCAGGTGTCCCTGTTATTTTACAAATGGAACAACTGCGACAGAGAAAGAGGAAGTGACACTTGCTGGTGGTCATACAGCTTAAGGGTCCGAAAACGACAGGCCACCATTTGTTTTTGTGTGGCTCTTGAGCTAAGAGTGGTTTTTACTTCTTAAAATGGTTAAAAAAAAGAAAAACCACCAAAAGCAGAAGCATGTCTTTTGTGACATGTGAAAACTATATGAAATTCAAATTTCATATAGTCCATAACAAAGTTCTGCTGGAACCCAGCTGTATTGTCTGTGGCGGCTTCCGCAGGACAGCATCAGAGGTGGATAGTTGCAATGGAGATTGTAGGGCTCACAAAGCTGAAAATATTCACTACGGGGCCCTTTGCAGGCAAAGCTGGTGACCCCCGATTTTGCTGAGTAAGAGTGGAAGTGGGACTCGAACCTCGGGCTCCAGCTTCCAGATGGGGTTCCTCCTTGGGGCTCGAGCAGTGACCAAGGTTGGAGTGTTCTTTTTCTACAGCAGCCTCGTAGGGCCTCACTAGAAGCACTACATGTGAACGTTTGGAGAGTGCATGGCAGGGACTTATAGCTGCGAAGGATGGAAAACACCCATCACCCCAACTCCTGGAACGTTCATAAAGTTGTGTTGGCTCCACAGCGGTTCACTAAGAAACAGGGTTCAGCCTGGGGTGTTGCTACTTTGAACAATAAGTGGCAGCAAGACTTGGGGCCTGAAGACTTTGGGAAGATTAGGTCTGAAAAGCAAAGAGGTTCCCACTTAGGCATTGAGGTTATTATCTTCTTTTAAAGAGATTTTCCATCTGTCCCTATTTTCCTCCAAACACATTTGACCAGCAGATAACTTTTTCAGGCCCCGATAAATAGTCCGAGTTATTTTTTGTATTATTTTCTTTTCCTTGCATTGTTAGTTTTTCATAAACAAAAAGTCATTTTACTTCTAAACCACTGTGATCACATAAAACCAAAAAACCAAAATAAAACCCAGAACACCCAGTCAGCATCTGGCAAGTGGGAAACGAGAAAGAAAAAAAAAAAAAAAAAAAAAAAAAAGCCATACCAAACCAAACTAAACCAAACTTTTATTTTCGGGTTGAGGTACACTTTTTCAGTTTTTTAAATCTCTGATAGAGAAAGCAGAGATCATTTGAGAATTTTTGTAATAGTTGGTTTATTAGAATTTAATGCCTCTCTTATAATAATTTAAATTCTTGGCCTGACATTATGAAATAGCTATACAGTAAATCCTTAAAATTGGCTTGAGTAAAGCCAGATTTAAACCTGGATCTCTTTCTTCAGCACTTGTTCCTCTGCCAGTCTTTCTAAAAAAAAAAAAAAAAAAAAGGCCAAATTGTCTAACGTTTCATCTTCCCGCTCCCCAAGCCACGTGGTAGAATGGAATTCTAGCTAGCTAGGGCCTAGGCTAACGGTTTTTGTGCCAGGATTCCCCAGCTTGGAGTGGCTCTCCTGAGCCAGGTGGACCAGCCGAGCCACATCTGGGTTGTGCTGGGTGAGAAGATGAAAGATACTACAAGCCTCACAGAAAGAACATGCCTTCCAACTCCTGGACAGACCTGTCCCTTAACGGGGACAACACCCCGTTACTGGTAGCAGAGGCAGAGGCCCAGGAAAAACTTTCCAAGTCGGCCTGCCCCCCCAAGGCATCCGCTTGTCCCGCTGATAGCTCAGCGTTCAAGAGAAAACGTGCAAAAGAATTTCCCTTCCCCAGCTAAGTGCACTGCAGACCGGGGAAAACAAATAGCGCACGCCATGTGAGGTACTTAAAACTATTTAAACAACAATGAACGCCTTTAAAAAAAGAAAAGAAAAAAATAGTCTAGACCTTGAAAGTTGCTCTGGGAGTGGGTTTGGATGTGAGGGTGGGGGAGGGGAGAGAGAAAAAAGTTAATCTGGGAGCAAATGCTTGAGCCCTTAATTAGAGGGGTGTAAGCGGGACAGAGTGAGGATGGCTGGTAACTTGTTAAAACAGAGTTTCCCCAGCTCCAGAGGGAGGAAGGAAGGAAGGAAGGAAGCAAGAAGGAACAGCTTCAAGAATTTTAATGGTTGTAATTAAGTACAGCAGCTATGAATTGTTTAGGGGCTTAATTTAACCTTACCCAAGAAGGCTCCAAGTTACTACTTGCTCGGTCCCCTGAACTTGGGTTATTTCTGTGGCCAGAGCAATTGAAACTTTTTTCAGGTGCCAGGGCTGCAGCAGTCAGCATTTTCCAGAGGAGTTCCAGGGTTGGCTGGCCTGGTCTCGTGCGATCGTGGGGCGGGGAGTGGCAGAAGAAAGTTGTGAGGGACATGCTGCCTTGAGAAAGAAGAGAGGAACACCCCACAGCCAACTTAAGTTCTCTTTCTCTTTCCTCCTGTAGATCTATCTGATTCCACATTGTCTTACACTGAAACGGAGGCCACCAACTCCCTCATCACGGCTCCGGGTGAATTCTCAGGTTGGCATTTCTTTTCTCCCTGCATGTTGCCATTGTGTTGAACTTTATAGGAGGGGGACCAGTGGCAGGGGCCTGACGGAGGTCTTGTTGATGTCCCCCCTCCTTTTCTTTTCCTTGGGCCTCCCACCCCTCAAGGAGAAGACTGCCAGGGTCTTCCTCACAGGTGTTCTTGGGGTTAAGAACAATCTGTATGAATGAGGCCTAAGGATGAGAACTTTTCAAGTGCCTGGCAATCCATGCTCTGACCAGTTTTCTCTTGTGGACATGATAAAAACCCAGCCCAGTTCTCCATCCTGATTTTGCAAGGGATCCTCTCCCTAAGCCAGCTGAGAGGCAGCAAAATGGACGTGTTTGTTTCCATTTGTCTTCTTGGGCTTCTCCTTCTGTCCCTGCTCTGGGGAAGGACCGATGCGCAGGGTCAGAAGAGGGGGAAATGGAGTGGGTAGAATGATCATGGGGGAGGGTCTAGCAAGCGAGGAGTTTTCCAGAGGCCGGTGGTTTCCGTGTCTCTCCCTGAGCACTGGGTGCTGGGCTAGGAAGCAGAGAGAACCCGGATTTGGAGCCTCCCCTACTCCCCACATTTAAGACTTGGCCATAGGGACCCTCACATTCTGGGGAATACCTAAATCAAGCTTTCCTTGAGGAATGACATGTTGGTGGTGACCCGGGGGCTTCGAGGGCCAGGAGGGGCTCAAGTGCCGAGGTCTGTGGGGCCTTTTGGGAGCATGGCAGGTAGGGTGCGCTGTGAGGACAGCTGGGGCTTGTGGCCTGGCTCTGTGCTGCGTTGGGTGACAGCCCCTCGGGCGGGAGATGCTTCCCCAGCAGGCATGGCTGGATCTCTTTGAGAAGGCCTCTGTTTGCCTGCATCTGAGCTGTCCTCCCCGGACCCCTGTCATAATGGCAACAACAGTCATTGTAGCTATCTGTTGAGTGTTTACTTTGGGCCACATCCTATACTCGGGCCCCTTTAGAATCATCATCTCAGACCAGCAGTAAAGTGACTTGCCCAGGATCACGTAGGAGCAGAGCCATTTGCCACTGTGTCACTGTGCTTCTGACCACCGTTCTGTCCCCCACTTCTCTGCAAGGGCTGGATGTACCTCCAGTGAACTTACTTCGCATGAAGCTCTGTCATTCCTGCCGTACTCTCCCCACGGCTCTACGGGTGTCACAGTGTTGGCTGCTCAGGGCTGCCTGTCCAGTCCCCGTGTCCAGAGCCCTTCCCTATCCGTTCCACGTTCCATCACGGCCGTGGGAGATCACAAGAGTATGTCTGTTTCGAAGATAGAGAAACTAGAAACCAGAGCAGGAAGTGACTTGTCCAGGGGGTACAGTAGAGCTTATGGCGCAGCTGGTACTGGGGTCTAGGTCTTCTGGGTCCCACTTGCCTTCTGGTCTCTGGTGGCCCCTCTCATTGGCCCACTTTGTTTTCATCCCTGCCTTTCGGCCTTACTTGTTAAAATGTCTTTCCCTGAAAGACCCAACCAGATGAATGCAAGGAGTGGACGTTTTAATCCATTCTTCTTTCTCTGTGCCCTTGTGGTTGGAAGCCACATATAATTTTGAAGCAAGAGGCTTAAAAGTATTTCTGAATGCAAGATTCCATGTCCCTGCCAACCATCAGAGTGTATTTAATTTAGATGGATTGCGCTGGCGTTGGTTGTATGGACAGATGGGTAGTTTTTCATCATCTCTTCCCCTCATTGTTAATGGCAGAAACTGCCGTGTGTGGAGGTGCCTTACAGGTTCATGGTGTGTCCTCAGCTGTGATCTCTGTCATCCCAGAGCTGGCCTGGTGTGTGACACAGGATGGAGAGAGCAGACCCCAGAGCACCTGCAGGAGGCCCCTCCCTACATCTGGTTCCCAGGAGAGAGCACCCTCTGGAGGCTGGAAGGTCTCCGGAGACCCTGAGGCCATTAGGTTGGGCTGCCTTTGGGGCCCAGTGGGCCTGTGTTTGGGATTCCCACCCAGCTATCCCAGAGCGACCTTTGATACTGACTGGTGAGAAGGCCCTGATGTGATTGATGCTCTTTACCGTGGATGAGGATTGCATGGCCCTCATGAGAAAATCTGGCATCCATTGCCTTGGGATTCTAAGGGACTGAAGGAACTGGGGAGGAAGTTTGGGATTTCCTTTTGGGGGTTGATTGGTCTGGGTTGCAGGTGGTCTCGGTAGGCGTTCCCCATTGTAGTCATCCAGGCCCCTCCCAGGGATGGCGTGGGTCTCTTCCCACTCTGCGGGCTCACAGTTCGGCTTTTCTAGCTTACTTGTGCCGTGGGGATCCCGGGACCGATGGGTTGGCCCTGCCCCTGCCTCCTGGATGCGTGTAGAGCTGGGGCTGTGGGTGGCTGTCACTTTGGAGGACAGGCTCAGGGAGGGAGGCCCTGCAGGGTAAGAAGGCCCAGAGTGGTCTCAGTGGATGGTGAAGCAAGACTCATCCTGCAAAGATGGGAGGCAGGGCAGGAGGTGAGGTCAGAAAGCTGAGGAGCACAGGCAGGTAGAATGCGTTGGGACAGACCAGGCGTTTGATGCTCAAGGACAGATGGTAAGGATGCTGATGCTGACATTTATTTATTTAACGTTGACATTCACTACTTAGCACTTTGCTGACTGCTGGTCATTCTTCATCTCGCTGACTCCTTATCACAACCCAGTGAGACACATTTGATTCCCCCTGTTTCAGAGGTGAGGAAACCGAGGCTCCTGGCCAGGCCAGCTGCCCAGATTCCCAAACTGTAAGTGGCAGGCTTGGGGTGGGAGACTGAGTGGTGTGACTGCGCAGCCTTCCACAGCAAGGATCCCCATCCTGCTCCCTGAGCCACACCTGGCAAGGTGGAGTGATCAAAAGGAGGCCAGGGACAGCCTGTCCTGATTGAAGAACTAGGGACAGGGCTGGGGCCTGGCAAGGGGCACAGGGCCCTGTGCTTCTCCATGTCCCCACCAGGTCAAGTTTGCCCACCACCCGGAGACCACCCGCGGCCCCCTCTGTCTCCCTGCATCCTGGGGTGGGGGGGTGGGCAGCGCTGTCCCTGAGAGCCTGGCCTCTCTCAGTGTCTTGGGATGGGTGTTGCTGGAGCAGGGTGTCTGCAGCTCCGGGACGGAGGCTGCCCTTGTTTGTCTTGCAGAATGACAATCCCAGCACCCGACCTGAGGCTGGCTATTTTTATCCAGGGCCAAGGTCTCTGCTTCACTTTCCCGTCCTGTTGCTGAGGCCACTTTAGGGGAAACGGGGGGATTTTGAGGCTTAGTCACAGCCAGGGCAGTTGAGGATGCATCGGTGGGCAGGGTGGGGGGCAGCAGGACAGGAGACTGTCTTGTTTCAGCCTTCTTCTGAATGCTTGACGCCCTCTCATCTGATCTCTGCGTCGGCTCCAAATGTCCATACGTGATCCCTACTAAACAGACAAGAAAACTGAAGCTCAGGGGGGCAAGTGAGTTCACCAAGGTCACCCAGTAGGGGGCCAGAACATGGAGCTTCCACTAAGTAAAGACCCTTACACCTGGAGTCTTAAGTGGGATTTGGAAAAATTGAAAGCCTAGAAGTCCCCTTTTGGGGTGCCTTCACTTCACGTCCTCGACACTCTGGTTTCCTTGCCTAACTGCTGCCCCTTGACTGTCTAAGGGGCATCCTCTTCCTCTCTGCAACATCTCCAACCCACCCCCATTCCCTTTATTTCGATTTAATTTGTGGAGGAAAGCAGGATTAGCTGGTTAAATTCATACTAAGGTGTGAGTGGCTGGTGGGCAACTCTTCTTGGCAAATTAAAGGCAGGATATGCGATAATTCAAAGAAATTGCAGGATCAAGGGCCACATGGGAACGACCTCTCTGAGGGCTGGGTTCTCTTGGCTCCAGGCTAGAAGAACAGAATGAGCATGACACAAGGAGCTTTTTACCCTGGATTAGTTAGGAGGAGCTAGGCCAGGCTCAGTGCTGGGTGCTGAGTGAGCTCTGGGAGTTGACCAGGGCCCGAGGTGATGGGCTGCATTTAGAAGCCAGGCCTGCCTGACTCCAGTGCTGTGGGGCTGGAGCATAGAGCACTGGGCGGACTTCTGTAGGAACCAGTAACTCCCCTCTAGTATCCTATTCTAGTGCCTATTGGATAACCATTCAAGTGCTTTATTAAGCACCCACTGTATGCAAGACGTGGTGTAAGCTGCCTGTCATGGGGACCAGACAGTCCCTTTGTCTGACTTTGGTTGTGTGTACCAGTACCTCAGTCTTTGGAGCATGCTGGTTTATTTAGAGTGTCAGTGAGGGTGAGCCCCTCACTTTGAAGAGAAGGCCCGGGAAGAAAAGGAGCTACTCAGGACAGTGTGGAGAGTTGGGGGCTCAGCTGGGTGTGGGTATCTTTCCTCCACCGGCCAAATTCTAAGCTCCTCGAGGGCACAGATCATTCTCCAGGATTCGTGCATTCTGTAGATTGGCAGAGTTTGAGAACAGAGGCTCAGAGAGGTTAGGAGAGCGGCTGAGGGCTGTACAGCAAGCATAGGAGGTGGAGCCAGGCCATAACCTAGATGGGTCCATGCTGCCCACCCACCTGCCACCTTTCCTCTCAGTGGTCCCTGAGGAGGTTCCCCTTTGTGGTCAGTGCTGTCTGATGTGTGTCAGTGCTCACAGAAGCCAGGAGAGGAGTGAGTTAGCGCAGTATCATTTCCTGCTGCTTCCCAATTCTAGGACCCAAGCTCACCTCAGAGGCCCTGGTCCAGAACGACCCTAGAGCTCCTCATTCTCCGAGGTCCTCAATTCAGCTCCCTCAGTGTGTGCTGAGCCTCTCTAGCAAGGTGGGCTGAAGAGCATGGGCTGAGCACCTTTGGGCCCTGGGTTCAAGTCCCGGCTCTGCCATTTCCCTAGTTGTGGGGCTTTGGGGCAGCCGCTTAACCACTCCCACCCTTGGTTTTCTCACCTGTAAAATGAGGGTGAAAATAACAACGTGTCACCTTATGGTGCAAGTGAAATGAGATGATGCCAAGTGAATCAGCCAAGGCTTGGCACACA